TTAATCTCTTAAATTGCTGGGCTTTTAATTAACTTATGATTTGGGCTTTCGTAATCTTACATGGGTTGAGCTTCCATAGGTCGTTTCTAAAATGGATTAGGCTCGTGGTGCTAAATCATCACAAAATATTAGCATAATTCCATTTTATTTTTTCTCGGCTACTACAACTGCTATACGATCTGTCAACTTCTAAATGTCCTTTTTGCACTTAGGGACCTCCATACTTATCAGAGTTTGGATTTTATCGGGATTTCTATTTCTCTGTGCGTGATCATAAATCTCAAGAACTTTCCAGATGCCACCCCAACACACACTTTGCAGGATTGAGCTTCATGTTGTACCTCCGTAACTTAGCAAACACTTCCTCAAGATCAGAGACATGGCCATTCACCTGTTTACTCTTAACTACCATATCATCCACATATGCTTCGACCGTTTTTCCAATTAATTCGTCGCAGATCTTGTTTACCAACCTTTGATACGTTGCCCCAGCATTTTTTAGTCCAAAGGACATTACTATGTAACAATAGATGGCTGAGTCTGTCATGAATGAGGTTTTCTCTTGATCTTCTTCCGCCATTAGTGTTTGGTGATACGCCAAAAAAAATCCAAGAAGCTATACAACATATGACCTAATGTGCTGTCCATAAGATTGTCAATTCGAGGTAGAGGATAACTGTCTTTGGGACATACTTTATTCAGATCTGTGAAGTAATGCAGACTTGCCACTTCCCAATAGCTTTCTTGACAAAAACAATGTTAGAAAGCCAATCGAGATATTGTACTTCTCGAATGAACTGTGCATTAACAAGTTTGACAATCTCATTCTTTATGACTTCTTCTCTTTCTGGTGCAAATTGCCTTTTCCTTTGTTTTACAGGTCTTGCCTCCAGATTTACATTGAGTTTGTGCACTGTAACATCTGGGTCAATTCCAGGCACGTTCTCAACATTCCAAGAAAATGTATCAATGTTGCGGGAGAGACAACTCAGTAGTTCAGTGATGAATGTTGTATCTAACTCTCGTCCGATGGTCACTTTCCTGCCAGGCTTGAGCTCGACCTCTTCCAATCTCTCCACTGGAGCCAGTCTTTCATGGTTCTCGTGCTCGAGCTCAGTAACTTGCATGACGTCGCCCTTGATTCTCCAGACACTAGTCACATAACAATGTCGTGCTACTGTTTGGCTGCTTCGAACTACCCCGATTCCAATTATTCATAGGAAACTTCATAGCCAAGTGGAAGGTTGAGACAATAGCTTGAATCCTATTTAGCAGTGGTCTTCCCAATATGGCATTGTAGACCATTAGAGTACGGATAACTTCAAAAGTGGTAATCTGCATTACTTGCTTACCTTCTGACCCTAATGTTAAAGGCAACCTGACGATACCTTCTGGGGTGATGATCCCACCTCCAAACCCTTGGAGAGGTGTTTTGAATGGCTTGAGCTGTTCCGATGATATCCCCATTTGAACAAAGGCTTCATGAGACAATACATTAGCTGCACTTTCGTTGTCCACCTGAATTCTCTTGACTTTGAAGTTGGCGATGATGACCGATATGACAAGAGCATCATCATGAGGGAATGATATGCCTTCCAAGTCCCCTGTTCTGAAAGTGATGTCCTCCATAGAGCCAAGGTCTGATTTTGAGATGGCTGGAGGCTGCCTGGCATATTGTTTATGCTCGCTACTAGAATCTCTACCCGAGGCTGTTCTTTAACAATAATATTGATAGTACCTGTGGTTGGTTGCTTGTTTCCCCAACCCTCTGGGTCCCTGTCTCTGTTCTGATTATTCCTTGGGCGCTTGTCATTGCTAACATAATAACCCAAAAAACCCCTTTTTATAAGAGCTTCAATCTCTCATTTTAAGGCAAAACAATCCTCCGTTGTATGCCCGTGGTCTCTATGGAAATCACAGTACTTGCTCTTGTCGCGAGTATCGGGTGGAGACCGCAATCTGGGAGGCCACTTCATTCCTTTGAATCCTTGATATCCATCAGAATGTTGGACCTCAAGGTGTTCAAATGGGTAAAGGATGTTGAGGACTGCCTTGGTTTGACACGAGGTATATCCTATCTCAGATTGGACTCATGCGGCCTTTTCTGATCAGACTTTCCTGATGAGGAAACTTCTCTTCTTGGGGCCATGGTTTCTTCCATATTGATGTATTTCTTAGCTCGTGTGAGTAGCTCGGTGACTGACTTTGGTAGGGTCTTAGACAAGGACATCTTGAATGCTTCACATTTAATGGTGTATGTCAAAGTTGAGACTGCGACAGTGATATGCAGATCGGGGATCTGAAGCCTTTCTTTATTGAACCTGGCCATGAAATTGCACAGTATCTCATTGGATCCTTGACGCATCTGCATGAGTGATACGGTTGTCTTTCTGATTTGCTTGTTACTTGCAAAGAAAGTAGAGAACTTATCGGTCAAATTTGAGAAAGAGGCGATAGAGTTGGGTTCCAATGTGGAAAACCAATTTCTAGCTGCGTTTGTGAGGGTCTGAGGGAAGGCCTTGCACATTAATGCATCTGGTACAACCTGTAAGTTCATGATATCAGTGCACACATTGAGATGTAAATCCTGTTGCTGCCTGAATATTTTGTTGCATACCCACTGCTATCCCTTCTTGAATAATTCTAGTAAGTTCAGCGGAGTCCATTGTAACGGACCTTGAATCTGAAGCCACTTGCGGTGCACCTGAAGTTCCGACCCCGCTATCATCATGAGCTGTACGTTGGACTCGAGCCCGGGCATCTGCCATAAAACCACCTTCAGGGTTTGGAGTATATGACGGGAGTGAATTTCTTTGGTTTAACAAGTGGGATAGTGCAGCAACTTGCTGACGAAGTTCCTTGAAAGCTCCGGCGGTGACAACAGCTTGAGGAGGTGCTGGCATCTCTGACGATTTTTCTTGAGGGACAAGGCGTTTCTCATGAGGAGGGTTATCCGGGACGGATGAGCTTGCTGGAGGAAGACATGAACGTGTATTGACCATGACTTTTGGTAGAGCTTCACACAGACGATGCCAATGATGCTACCAAAAAATAGTACCTGAAAGATCTTGAACTTTATGATCGAACTTCGAGCTTGGATGAACACGAACGATCTTCGAATACCTGAAACAAAGGCCATGAGTTGTGTGTTCGTCGTCCCTCCGATGCTTAACTCAGATAAGGAATTTAGTGCGTGAAACTATAAACTGGAGATAATGAAAAACGTACCTCAAGAACAAGCCCGGGTTATGTATTTATAGGTGCTGAAGATAGAGCCCTAGAAGGACTTAGCCATGTGTGATCCTTATCCTTGTAGGACAAGGAGTTAGTATTTTATTTCAAGTATTCAACCACTGTTTGAGTCAAAAAGGGAATCCAGCTAGGTAAGAATTGTAGGTTGGGTAGAATTTGTGTTCCCATAAGTTGTCAAGAAGGACTGACGATTTGACACGTCAGTCGACATACAAAACCCGACCTCATGGACCCGACCTTGATTTGGTGGTTTTGGGGGGGACATCAAGTTCGGGGTTCATGGGTCGAGTTCGGGATTCACTAGATCTGGGGTCATCACCATCAAATATTAGAACACAACATTGGCTAGCTGCTGTTTGGAACTTGAGCTGCATGCTTACAGAAGAATAAATTCTAAAGGAAATTGAATTGTGGGTGCTTTTTCAAATTTCAATTTTCTGCTACCCCCACTCTCCGTCTTTGAGTGTCTCTGTGCGTATATATATCTATATGTGCACACCACACTTGATGCGAGTGATTGTGTTTTTGATTTGGACATAATTGTGTTGCCTTAGCAAATCAGCTTTATTGGATACTAAATGACAAATATTAATGGAGTTAACTAGATATCTGCAGTGATTACTATGAATCTATGATGTCGCAAGGGGAATTGAAATATAGCATTCTATAATGTCACATCAGAATTAAACGATTACATCTGAATTATTGGTAGAATTAAGAACAGCAAGACAACGTCAAACGATGTTGATCTTATCTTATTGTTGATATAGAAGCTATACTAGATTGTTCACCATTTCTTTTCTATCTTGAGGTAACAAGGCCTGATTTCTAAGGTTAATTTATTCAACAGCTCACTCCTACATGAATGTAGTGACAGTACTGGTGGGCAATAAATCTGATCTTGTAGTTGTAGATGCTAGAGAAGTTACAACTGCTGAAGGCAAAGATTTGGCTATGGCACAAGGTCTATTCTTCATCGATACATCAGCTCTGGATTCGTCCAATGTCTCATCTGCATTTCAGACAGTAGCTAGAGAGATTTTACAATATTTTGAGCTGTAAGGTTATGCAATCTCAAGATCTCAAGCAAAAAGATCCCGGGTGGATGGGAAATGGAAGAACGGTCATTTTAAATGGTGATGAGAGCCAAGAAGCTGATGGGCTGACGAAGAAAGCTGTATGCTGCTCATCATAAAGTCCTGTGATTTTAGGACCCCTTTGAACTGCTGATTCACATCTTCTTTAATTTTTATTTTATTTATCATAATTACTCTTGAAAATGAAATGAAACAATATTTTTCTTTATCCTTGGGTCATAGGAGAATTTGTATTAGAAATTGTAAATGACCTAAAAGGGTAGAAATTTTGACAACGTTGAACGTGTTTGAAATTTATGATACGTGCCTATTCATATTTTGAGATTAAGAAATTTCTTTTAAATATATTTGTAATTTTTGGAAGTTCCTTGTTTGGTCAAAAATTGTTTTAAAGGAATTTGACTTAAAAATATATATTATTTATTTTCTTATACAAGACTTAAAAGTTAGAAATCCTGCCAAATAGGGCTTAAATTAAGTTGTCAAATGAGACCAATCTTGCAAAGAAGAAAATTGTTGAGGACTAACTTTTATGCTTCAGAAAAGATGTAGACTTCCCCGGTTATTTTCTCATTTTTTGGACCATGGAGATAATTTTATTTAGTATGGGTCCCATCATTTTAGTCTTCCCTCCAACCCTAAACCCCTAAAACCATTGTTGTGTTCCCTCTCTCACCTCATAGCCATTAGACGCCATTAAGTAGAATTTCCCTTTAATCACATTTTGTGTTCTTCAATTTCAATCTCTCAACACAGTAATCTGAAAAAGAAGCCCCACAAACGCACATATATATACATGTTGACTGTATCAAGAATGAAATCGTTCCTCAATCTCTCCCCAGCACTTTCCAATAACGTTACTACTCCTTTTTCCTGCTGTTTCCACTCTGAGCAATCCATTATTTTACGCAAAACTTCCAGAAATATGCACGCTGCTAAAATTCTCCAAACCCCTAATTTTTTCTCTAGAATTTCTGTGATACATTCTCTTGTAAACTGTGCGAAGCCCTCAGATCGTAATCGAATTCGTAGCTTGCATACTGAGGCCGCTTCGAGGTCTGGTGAAATTCACGTGATTGTGGGCCCCATGTTTGCCGGCAAGACCACTACGCTTCTCAGGAGAATTAAGCTCGAGAGCAGTAATGGCAGGTTGGCATATATTTTCCTCATTTGTTTTCAACTCTTTATGAGTTATTTGGGTAATTAATATAGTTTGGCAATAAAATGCTATGACAGAGTTTTAGAAAAAAAAAATCTTCTCTTCTATTTTTACTGTGTATTTTTTTTTTTTCCTCGCAAGCTGAGATGATAAATTTGATTGATAATGGATCTTGAATAATGAAATATGATATATGAGTACTGACCTCTTCTATATGCTGTTTGGACTTTTGATGAGTTCGAATATCTCTCCCTTTTACTCTCCAAAGTAAAAAGCTTGCCCACTCTTTTTAGTTCTACGGATGAATAACTTATCATTATTAAGGTGTTCCCAGTTTTCAGGCCAATGCCATAAGGAATTCCATCCATTTGGGTAAAACACTGAAGGGTCTCTGTTTAACTGGGAGACTATCAGAGGCTATTGGGGTATTGTGCCGCACAGGAGAGAAAGTAGAATCTGGAACTTATTCTCTTCTTTTGCAAGAATGCATTTTCAGGAAAGCATATAAGAAGGGTAGAAGAATTCATTGGCAAATGACCGTTGCTGGATTTGTTCCAGATGAATATCTGAAGGTCAAACTTATGATTTTCTATGCAAAAGCTGGAGATCTAGATAGTGCCCACACTCTTTTTGATAACTTGCTGGTGAAAACTTTAATTTCGTGGAATGCAATGATTGCAGGATATGTGCAGAAGAGTATGGAAGAAGTGGGTTTGGGTTTTTATTACCAGATGAGACAACGTGGTTTGATACCAGACCAGTATACGTTTGCGTCGGTCTTTAGGGCCTGTGCATCATTGGCCATTCTGGAACAAGGCAAACAAGCCCATGCAGTGTTGATCAAGAGTCAAATTAGTGAAAATATTGTAGTTACTAGTGCTCTCATGGATATGTACTTCAAGTGCAGTAGCCTCTCTGATGGGTTTCGAGTATTTGACAAGTGTTTAGATAAAAATGTTATAACTTGGACTGCTCTGATCTCTGGTTATGGTCAGCATGGAAAAGTATTTGAGGTTCTAGAATATTTTCATCAGATGATAAATGAAGGATTTCGACCAAATCAAATCACTTTTCTTGCAGTACTTACTGCTTGTAGCCATGGAGGTTTGGTAGATGAAGGTCAGGAATATTTCTTGTCAATGATGAGAGATTATGGTGTTCAGCCAAGAGGAAAACATTATGCGACTGTGGTTGATCTTTTAGGCCGTGCTGGGAGGTTAATAGAGGCCTACAAGTTTGTCGAAAATTCACCATGTAAAGAGCACCCAGCAATTTGGGGTGCTTTGTTAGGGGCATGCAAGATTCATGGAAATGTAGATATGATAAAACTTGCTGCAAAGAACTTTTTTGAATTGGAACCGGAGAATGCAGGGAAGTACATAGTTTTGTCTAATGCATATGCCACTTTTGGTCTATGGAACAATGTCGCAGAGATTAGGAGTATAATGAAGGAGTCTGGGATTAAAAAGGAGCCTGGTTATAGCATGATTGAGGTTCAGGCAGAGGCCCACTTCTTTTTTATGGGTGATAACATTCACAAACAAACTGAACAGATTTATGAGTTGATTAAAGATATGGCTTGTATTCTGAAAGATACAGGAGATGCCCTTGACTCAAGCATCTAAGAACGTAATAAGTAACCTAAAGGGGAAAAATTTCTTCATTTTCTGACCACCTCCATGCGGCATAATGTCTTTCTTAGGAGATTTGATAGTTACAGATCTTAGCTTTGCTTTGGAATGACAGAAGGTAATATACCAGTAATTGGATCAGACATGATGGGACTTTTGGGAATGTGCTCTCTTTCCCATAATAAGTAACATTTTCTGATATTTTGATAATGACATAGAAAGCAATTTATAAACTAGGTTTTCTCAATCTGTCAAGGAAGGCAGCTGTATCATAGCCTTTTTTTTTTTTTTTTTTGACGGTGGAACCCGCAGCTGCTACCCTTCGGGTACGTACTGGATAAAATCTTGACAAGCTCGATCGAGAAAGTATTGGTAGGGAAAATCGAACTCGTGACCAAAGGCCTCCGCGTTCACCTACTCCACTAAATTGGCCACCCCATGAGGGGTTGCATCATAGCGTTCTTTGGTTGGTGGATAGGTGTGTGTTGGAGGGGGTGGTGGGCTTGATGTACATTACCGTCATAGATAGAACATCTACGATCGTAAATTTACTGATACAGATTTGATGGAGGTGACACCCAGAAGTTAGTCTGTTAAGTATTCTTGCACTTGTTTACACGATGGGTGGATCTTTGGTTAATGGTTAACGTCATTTTGCGCCATCAAATGCTGAATGTATTGCTAGCTTGAGTTGACCATCTTTCCCTCCTATGATTCTTGGATTGCAGTTTGATTAGAAATGTATGAGTTTGACTCTTTTCTATTTGTTCAGAAACCATTCTGTCAACTTTATTATGAATTTGAGCTTTAAGAATGGGCATTTAAATTTGTTGAGACCTTCATGTCCTTTATATTTAGATATATGCTTCTTATAATTTTTAGTGTAAAAGTCTCATCTTTACGTGTATGGTGATTATTGCTGATATATTGAGTATATTGGTCAGTCGACTGGTTTTATACACTCTTTCATTTTAGTGGGACTAGTTGCTGATGTATCCAAAAGAAACAGAGAAGGAAAGAAGTGGATTCATGCATAAATATATGCCGTTATATTTATATTCATATTCATATTAAAAATGCTTGGTTTCTGTTTTGTGCAGAAATGTAGCGATTATAAAATCAAACAAGGATACTAGATATGCCGTAGACTCTATTGTAACACATGATGGAGAGAAATTACCATGTTGGCCCTTGGCAGACCTGTCTTCATTCAGAGAACGACTGGGTCCTGAAGCATATAATAAGGTAACTTGCATACAGAATTTGGTTTCAAGATAACTACTTTACATAGATATCACATGTCAAGTGCTGGATACGGAATCATGTTTCTGTTAATGGGAAGAACAATGTGAATGCCTCTCAGATTTCATATTGCATGTTTCACTTATTTTGCCAGAAAATGCATATGATGATATTTTTCCCGTGTCACAATGACAGCTAGAGGTGATTGGTATCGATGAAGCTCAATTTTTTGGGGACCTATATGAATTCTGTGGCAAAGCTGCAGACCATGATGGCAAGACTATCATAGTTGCTGGTTTGGATGGTGACTACTTAAGGTAGCACTTTGGTTTAATTTCAACAGATTTTATGGTGGACGCATTTCAGATTTCTTCCTTTTACTCGGTTGCTATCATGATGTTTTTAGGTGTTCTTACTTGAAAGTCCGAATTTTACTGACCTGTTTTTTGATGTTATTTTGATTTTCCTCCCCTGGGGATTGGAAGGAGGAGCTTTGGTTCAGTGCTTGATATAATTCCCATAGCCGATTCTGTTACTAAGTTAACTGCACGATGCGAGCTATGTGGTGAATGTGCTTTCTTTACTTTGAGGAAGACAGAGGAGACTGAAACAGAACTTATTGCTGGGGCAGAAGTATATATGCCAGTGTGTCGGAAGCACTATGTGAGTGGGCAAGTGGTCAAAGTGGCTGCAAGGACGGTAATTGAAACTCAGAAGGTTCAGTGTGACTCGATCCTTTAGTCCTTGCGGCAGATTTCACTGGGAAATCTGGCACTGGGAGTTTTCTTATGATTTGAAATTATCAAATGTGGTAATGTGCAAGCTGCCCTGTGTTTATCCTTCCGTTGAGATCTATTGGCGTGTATTATTACTGCTGATGCTTATCCTTGCTCCCATGCGCTGGTGCACTTTTGTTCTTTGAACGGATTTGCCTAGGAGAGATTTTCATGCTTGCCTTATCACATAGGGTATAAACTCAGGTTTGATAATGTTGTAACACTATAAATTCAGAATCTCAAGATTTTCTGTGCAAAAATGTTGGCTGGACAAATGAAACCCCTCGTGAGAACAAGGAGATTGCTTTACTGTTACTGTAACATGAGCCTAATCAGATCTTAGTCAGGAGGAGTTCAATAGTGTACTATTGTGAATCTGTCCCAGGTCGACCGAGCTGTAAAAACCAGGCCAACAACGGCATGTATTCTGAATCATAAATGAAAATTTAAGCCAAAAAAAAAAAAAAAGTGAGTTTGTAGGACGGGCATGGCTTTGGTCTAGGCCCAGCTTCCCTAAAAAGGGCCGTGCCAGGCTTCAAAACTAGCCAAGACGAAAGTCATTTTTCATGTCAAAGTCTGTTGTATGAAACCTGAACATGGACAAAATTTATCTCCTTGATCAATCTTTTATTTTGAAATCCAAGTCATATGAAACTTGAAAATAGAGAATTAAAGTTTTGTTTAAGCCATGTAGCAACTGATAATGAGCATTAACAAAGAATATTGCTAAACAATAGATTACAAGGACGGCCGGTTGAGAGTTTGGCAGTAGGATTGTGGCGAGGATGTTTGGATTGGACACAATCGCAGACTGAATAACTCAAATCAAACCGAAACAATATGATGATGTCAAATCGATTTGCTTTTGGTTTGTAATTTTCTAAATCGAAATAGTTGGTTCGGTTTCATTTTGGACTTGACTTAACCATTCGACCCTTGTCAGTGTCACTGAAGGTTTAATTGCAATGGAATTTTCAATAAGAGAACATAGTGACACTAAGGGATGAATTTTACAGCTTTTGAATAAACTAACACGAGTTTTAATGCAGTTTTAATCATTCACCTTCTCTGTATAGAACGAAGTAACTTGAATTGTTTATTTATTTATTTTTTTTAAACAATTCACAAATATATTAAAAATGGTTGAATAAACTTTTTTTATACTTATTTTATTTTTTACAATAAATTTGCAACACAATGTGTTAGATTTTGTAAAGTTATGTTATATACGATTCATTATCATGTTTTCTCCATTATCGCTGCCACAATTACTTGAAATAGTATTACACATATTTTGTCGGCATTGTCATTGCCACCGCGATCACTACTAGCACTTGAAACATTTAGTGTTGCGCCACAACCGTCATTGAACTCATCAATTGCAACATTCATTGTTACACTACATTACATCTGAAAGCCCAAGAACAACTAACCAAGATGGGGGTGAATTTGTTATTTGAAACTTTTTAGAAAATAAGTTCAACTTTAAACAAATACCAATTAAAATAATAAGTAAGCAAGATATCACAATAATAATAAGAGGAAGGGAAAAGAGAGTGCAAATAATGTAATAAGGAGGTTCGATCCAATCAACGATCTACATCCCCCGTTACCAAGCTCTCCGTCACGAGCAAGGCCTTTTCTACTATATTTGATTGACTTATGGTGCAACCCAACTTTTATAAAGCTTTCGGTGACTTACAACCAAGGAGCACCAATCCTTTTAGACCGTTGAGATTTTCGGGATCTCAACACGACCCACAATCCAACACAAGATAGTTGAGATTACAAATATAAGCTTCTCCCTTAGTGAATGATATAACTGAGTTTGAATACAAGAGAAGAGTAGGTAAACACTTTTAATAGATAGCAAAGAAGATATCTCAAGTGTTTTGATTGAAAACTCTTATTGATGTATCAAGTTTTGATCACTCAAGAGTATCACAATGAATAAATTGATCTTATGAGAAGATTTGAAAATAATAAATGCCTCACTTAAAACTCAAAAGGATTCGTAGTAATTATGCAAGGGAGGGAGGTATTTATAGCTAGCAAACAGACCAATTGGACGAGCAGAATCGGACGTCCGGTATCCTACTAGACGAGTCAATAACCATTACTTTGGTCAGAATTCAGAACGATCATATTTTTGACCGTTAGACAAAAACTGCCCTACCGGACGTCCGGTAGGGGTACCGGATCGTCCAGACGATAGAGTTTGGCCCATTTCCTTTCTTTTATCATTTTAGCAAATGTGATTTCGTAAAGGATGTTTCTTGCACGATATTTCCAAGGTGAGTAATACTTTTGAGATTTTCAAAAATTTTCGTGAAAATATTTTTATATTGTGATTTTGTCATGCGTAAAATCAAACTTGAGATGTTTGTGATTCTTTGCCAAGTATCAAAAATGTTTTACCTTTACATATGATTTACAAAATGTCTAAGTGTCTCGCTGAGCATGCTTGGAAGTGTTTCGACCTTTATCTTGATTTTCATTGATGTGTCATCTCTCGAGTTTGATTGACTCAACCTTGTTCGATCAATTTTGCTTCCATGTTAATTATGTAGTTCACTTGATCTTGCACGAACACTTGATCCTGCACTTTGTGTCTTCAATTTTATTTCAATATTCTCTATAGACACTTGAAGTCAATTTGTTAGAGATGAACTAAATATGTTTGTGATAATAAATAAACGAGATGTTGAACATAGGTCAACAATTTCCCCCTTTTTGATTATGACAAACAAGATGATTTAGAATATAGAAATTAAACAAATTGATAAAGAATGAGGTTACATATTATTTCCCCTATCAAAGGTTTACTTATGTTCCCCCGTTTAACATGTAATATATTCCCCCTATCAACATGCATTGTAAATTTCATCTAGTAAAATCAAATCATCCATTCTTTCAAGCACTTTCAACATGCAATATATATTTCATATTTCATCAAATCATCTCAACTTCAAATCATCTGAACTTTCTTCCCCCTTTGTCATAAGCAAAAAGAAAGTAATACCATATGAACCAGCTAGGTTTGAGGAGAGTGACAAAAAAATGGGAACATCTTACGAAAAATTAAGAAACAAAACATAAACTACGACTCCGGAGGAGGTGGAAATCGCGCATAGAAACTGGCAAAGAAGGTGTCCTGTCGGGCCTGCATCTCCTCCTGACGGGCCAATATGGCGCCCTGCTGGTCCTGAATCACAGTCTGCTTGTTTTGAATTTGGTGAAGTAGTCTAGTAAGTTCATCAATCGAAGATGTAAGTGAATCAATCCGTCCGTTCAGAAAGCTGTACTGATCCTTGGTAAACGTAAAACCACGGCTGGAGGAGTGGGTAGTACTTGAATCCAGGATGTCATGTGGAGGACCCATAGATGGGAGTACATCTTCATCTTCTTCGTCGTCCCTCCCTGCTAATATAGAGGGTCCCAAGGCCGGGTTGATCCCCTTCTTCTGAGCCACCTATTGACCACGTATCTTAACAATTTTCATGTGTTTTAGTGTTTGTGTGTTGATGGTGTCGGTGGGACGAAGTTTAACACAAATTTCATCATTCAAAGGAACACCAAAATGTTTGAAATTTTGGTAAGAAGCATGCCATAAGGAAGTGCCTTGGCATAGCGTGAAGAGTGTATAAGTTTCATGAGACCTAGTGCAATGGTTGGGAAATCCAATTTTCGACCGACAAGAAAAGAGTCAAGAATGAAAAGATCAAAATAATTGACCTCGTCCCTATGCCCTTTTCTAGGTAAGATTATGTTAGCAATAATATTTTGTAGGACCTTACACGGGAGAGTTAATTGATTGGCACTAACTTTGGTAATGTTTTTTAAATTTTTACCCGTCACCCGTCGACATGCATCGAATGGGTTATAACTGAGTGTATTTTTACACACTTATTTAGCTCACAAACATGAATTAAATATGGACAAAGTAGTTGAATTGTGACATAATCTTGTTAAATTCATGCAATGTAGGTGTTTTTATGGAAAAGATGGAATTCAGAAGAAAAGAGCCGAAAAAGGACCAAAACGGAACAAAGCGATAGTTCGGGGACCAAAGGTGCAAATATTGGAAAGTTGAGCTAAAATGCAGAATTAGAATGAAAATACACCATGTATGAGATGGAGGACAATACAAGATGATTGGAGGAAGAAAG